TTCTATTACACCTTCGTGGATAATTCCGTTATATTTTTACAAGAATTATCAACGAAGGTTTCCCTTTAGTTCGATCAGTAATATATATTACCTAATATATATTATCTTGTACGTTGTGTAACAACGTAACATTTTGAAACATAATTTCATCAAGCCTTCACAAATAATCCCATTACAAACTAACACAGGAATATTCTTTTAATTTCAATACAAATTGCCCTAGAATTTCCAGCTTCCCCATATTGCGCGTAATTTCTTCTAAACACGGAGGAATCTAACATTTAATTTTCTACGAACCTGGATTAAATTCTCAGAAATTACAAGCCCCCTCCCTCCATTTCATTCTCTTCGACCGCGCGTATTCATACAGCTCTTCCCTTCCACTTCTCCGCTCTGCCTTTCTTTATTTAAAAATTCGTGTTTTCACTCGTGTCCCTCTTTTCCTTCGCTTGTCCGCGCAACCATCGGTTTCCCGTATTCAAGAGTCAACCCTCTCTGTCACCATCTCTGCCCAATGCCCGATGTTCCCGAGTCCTCTGTCTCCGTTCAACGCACACGCAGGCGAGCTGGACTCCCGGGAATTCATCGATCGGCACCAACCATCCACGAGAGACACAGAAATGGAGGGGCGAGAGGGTGGGAGAGACACTGGAGTACCTGGTACCACAATTTCAAGGGACAACCGATATAGATCAGTCGAGCACGTGGGATAAGCTACCTAGTTTGATTTATGGGGGTATTCTATTCTGGTAATCCGGCTTAAAAAAAAATTTTTTTTTTTTTTTCTTAGATTTTCTCAAAGTATATGCTTTCGAAAATGTTCTGTGTAAAAGGATTTGTTTGAATTCGTAAAATTAGCAACGTTATAGATGTTTAAAGGAAAAATTTAAATATTTTCGTACAACGAGTAACAAAAGCTTCAAAGGCGTTTTTCTCAACAAATATTTTATTTTATAATATTATTATTTATTCTTATTTTATAATATTTTATTTTTTGCACTGCTCGACTGATTGTAAGTATGAATATTTCTGTACAACGGGTAACAGAAACTTCAAATGTGTTCTTTCTCAAATCCATATTTTTTGAATTGGCTGACGAGATATCTCACGTTTTAGTTGACCGATTGACTTGAAATTTGGAGAAGATCTTCACCGGATGTACCTTTATCGCATCACCACAGATTTCAAAATCTAATGTTTTTTTCTTCGTTTTTTTTTGTTTTTGTTTTTTTTTTTTTTTTACCACCCAAAAGACAAAAAGCACAAGGAAAATCGATACTTCAACTTCAAAATGCTGCCATTTTTTAAATTTTCGAAATTTCGCTGTTTCCGTGGTTCACGCGATAGCTATATTTATACTAATGAAGATGCATTTTTTAGTTTCAAATAACCAGGTGGATCGGAATCACGTGAGCCATTCGAACCCGTTTTTAAAAACATGCTTCACGTAAGGCTATATAATTTCCACAAATTTTATTAATTTCGTTTAAAAAAAAAAATTGTAAATACTCTTTAAGTATAAATCTGTGTGCGAAAACTGCATACCGAAATGTATCATCGTGTTCTTAGAAAAAAATCCCAAAAAAGTCGATTTTTTCAAGCCAGATTACCAAAATACCCCTTCAAAATCGCGTTTCAATTGACTCGGTCTGGGATACACGCGTAACACGGTTCTACGTATCTTTCACATCGTTCCCTAAAGTCTTCAGATTTTTTTCCAAACAATTAACCAATTATCTACAACTATACGGTGTTTCAATAGAGGTGGATAAAAAAAAGTTGTCGATTTGAAATAGAAAGTGTTACAAAAATCGTAATAATCAAGAGCAATCGACTCGTTGCTTGATTTAATTTTTCACAGAATTTATTTACTATTCACAGATGTATTCGAGTTTCTTAACGTGTCGTATTGTTTCTGTCAGGGATTAATTACATCATACTTTTGTTCGCGCGGGCCAGTCACTGTCTTATTGAATAATGAACGAAATAAAAAAAAAAAAACTTTCACGTTTAAACAAAGAAGAGAGGAATCGATCAGTTAAATGGAAGTTGAGAATAGTTTAAATGAAACTCCATTTGAGAATGAGACGAGACGCTGAAGAATAAAAGTGAGACTTTAAAATACTGGAGTCTCAGTGATCTTAGTTATTCTTTAAGCCAACATTAGTTTCGATTTCTGTATATATATATATATATATATTTATATGTATATTTATCTTTTCAAAATGTACACGCCGCGTTATCGATTGTACTAACCTGTTAACCTAGTTACTTGTTATAACCAAAAATTTCTACAATACTACTATACGTGATTATAAAATTAAAAATAAATGCAACAAAATCTATGATTTAATATTCTTCGCGAAGAAAGCTCAAATTACTGTTATTTAAAATATTAATATTAAATCAGGACGAATTAACGCCGAATCAATTCTGCTCCTTGTAATTATAAAATTACGGTGTATATAATTTGATTCGAACAGGACACGTCGAAAAAATGGGAGATCTGCAAGTGGAAAAGGGACGCACGCCTTCGGCCTGAATCGACCTGGCATATTTCTGCACGACATGATGAAACAGCCAGTACATATAGGGTTACAGTCTCCTGTTGAATTTCATTTTCCATGTTTACTCGTTCCGAGCCACTAGCCGAGCCATACCTCCATCGTTACACAATACAGGCAATTTTTGTTCTCGTCAAGCTGGCGAGTTCTCCACACGTACTCTGAACACTTCTTTGAAGAAATCCAACGAGTGTTTCGCTTTTGATAGATCTCAACGTGAACTGAAACGTAAAAGTAATTCGGAGAATTTTGAACGTTTAAATGTTGCCACGTTGTGATACTCTTTTACAAGCAAACGTGTACTTTTCTTTTTTTTTTTATTTAACGCTCTAACAATGATTTCGTATTTCATTCTCAAATTGATTCACTTCGATTTGACGACGATAGAAAAATTTTATGGAACATATCTTTTGTTAACACGTTTCAATTCACCAGTTCCACTATCCGTTCCTTGAATTCTAATTCCGTCTCTAAAGTCTACATTCTACTTCCACGAATCAATATCAACATGACAGTATCTACACCTCTGTTAGGATGTCTTACAATTAGAAAATTTTTCTATACTATTCCTCTACTTGATGGAACTATTTTACTCGACTGACTCGATCTAAACCTACGTTATAGTCATTAATATTATAAAAAATATTATATTATATATATTATAAATATTGCATTATATTATATATATTATATATATTATAAATATTGCATTATATTATATATATTATATATATTATAAATATTACATAATATTATATATATCATAAATATTACATATTATCTATATTATATATATTATAAATATTACATATTATCTATATTATATATATTATAAATATTACATAATATTATCTATATTATATATATTATAAATATTACATAATATTATCTATATTATATATATTATAAATATTACATAATATTATCTATATTATATATATTATAAATATTACATAATATTATCTATATTATATATATTATAAATATTACATAATATTATCTATATTATATCTATTATAAATATTATATTATAAAAAATCATTTATAGTCATTAAATGTTATAAAAAAATATTCTACTTTGGATTTATTTCTGTCCAAATGTACATATATCAAACGTCTAAAATTGTAAGTAATTTCACTGCGAAATATTCCACTTTAGAACAGTCAAATTGCAGAATGTATTTAAAAGAAAACTATTTAATTTCATTTCGTTGCGAAATATATATATATTCATCCGGTCAATTACCAATAATCGTGTCGATAAATGTAATCACAGATACTGCATATTTTTTTTTTTTTATATATATCATTAAAAGCTAAAATCATCGTCGATATTCCTTGCATTACGAAAAATAAAGATAAAAAATTAAACACATGCATGACACATATATGACAATACGTATCACCGGCATGCACAAACGTACGTCACTGAAAATTATCCCGGCCGATATCGTCGAAGATTGAAAATACCGCTGTATTTCATTTATTATTAAACGCACGTGTAATAAACAAATTCCATTGGAATCCTACGGTTTAATAATTCATTTAATTTCCTCCCCGTCGCCCCTCTTATTTACGCACTGCTGCTTATTTATAAATATGTTACCTGCTCCATCGATTTACCTAGCTTTCCCCTCTCCCACCGCAACAGAGCTTTCACGAAAGCGTTCTATCACCTAAGTGTACTCGATTGCGGGAGCAGTAAAACGAGGTGGAATGCGATAGAACTAATACGCACAGAGAAAATAAAATACGAAAGAAAAGAGGAGGGGGGGGAGGAGAGTCGAAAATGCTTTCAATTTTTCAGAACACTGAATCACGGGGCATTTGTAACCATTTACAATGAAATTTGAGAACCGAAAAAACTGAAAACGCAATTTTCAATGAAATATCGAGAACTCGTTGTCGTTGATTTCCACTTACGCTGTTATGATAATTTTACTGTTACAATTAAACATTGTGACATCGTGTTGCGCAAAGGTGTAACGTATAAATTATTTAATAGTATCTGTGAATAATTAGCAATTGTTTGACTTTTATTGGTCTTTCGGGGTTTGAAATAACCGGATGAAAATAATTCGATATTTCAAAATGTGTAATTAAATCATTTAAAATACGACACGATTTCGCTAATCGATAAGGAATCTAATGGCCACCCGATTTTCGTTCGTTCTTTGCGTATTTTCATTCTCGCGCAAAAAGTCCTCGGCGAATTGTAAATAATATAGAACGATTAATTTTTAAATCGCTTCCCGATAAATGTTTACTCGTACTGTTGTTTATAATACCACGACAGTACTTCATTCGTTTCAAATATTTACGTTGCTGTTATTATTTATAAAATGAAACATCGATAAGCGCCTGAAGCGCAAGCCCCAGAAGACCAATCGAAGCATAAAGTAAAAAATTCTGAATAATTAGCGGAACAAAACTCACCGAGATCAGAGAGCGAAACTTTCTCCACGAAAGGATCGACAACAGGCAGCTGAAAATTGAGAACACAAATGAACATTATTGATCCGTTGCGTCGTTTTTCTTTTTATCGTTACAGTCTTTCTTTTGCGAATTAAAGGACATCGTTCAACATGGATAATTAAAGAGGTAAATAAAAAAAAGTTGTCATCGCATTTCTCAACTGTAGACAAACGATAAAATCATGCATGCAAGTAATTCCAATTATTCCGAGCACGAGAATAACGCAAATGCTATATAAAATGTGGGTGTAATTTTAGAGTAAATTTTCTACGAATTTTTTTCATCAAAAATATTAAATTAAATTAAATTTTTAAATTAAATTAATATGCTTTTCCGCATAGTTCGCGTATTCTCTTTGCACTTTGCGTTGCGTTTCTTTCCGACGGAAATACCGCTGATAATTTACAGTGATTAACGGTAATTTAAAAGACATGTAATATCGAAATAAAATACCCACACTTAAGAGTCCCGTTTCAAAATATTACATCCACATTTTGTAACGTGCTCTGCATAACAAAATATTCTTGCCTTTCAATTATATTAGTGCTAGACTGCGAATTGTTATGCGTTCACGCGGCAAGTTTGAAACTGAAAAAATTAATATTTTCGACTATTTGACTATTTAATTTCAACAGTTGAGTGAAAAATTGTTTGATTTAACGCTTTCTCATAATAAAAAAATATATTATATAATATATAATATGTAGCTATATATATTATATGATATATAGCTGTTTCATTAATGATAAAAATAAAATCTAATTTAAACAAAAATGTTGAAGTTAAATAGCTAAAAAAAAAAAAAAAAAAAGAAATGGCTACATAATTTTTCCAACGAAAATAGAAAAGGTTAAAGAAAGATGAAAGCCAAATAGTAAAAATTAGTGGCATAATTACCTAAGAAATAAGAGAAATATCAGAGCCGAATAATCAAAATTAGAAAAGTCACTAAACTGGCTACATTAAATAACTTAAATAAATATTAATAACTAAAATAAATTATCCATTTAAAAACACTTAGCGGCTGAGACACAAATCTCTATTTAGGTTCCATTTTCTTAATATATAATCTGCATAAAAATTCGCATAAAGTTTTATCTTCGACAAATATCTCTTTCACTTTTATCTGAATTTGATCACAATTTGACCGTGACGAAATAACCTCGAGGGAAACACAAAGTACAAAAGGTATAATAATAAGTACCAACGCCTTCTTCAACAGAGATTTCGGACTGAACGGTTGCCTCTTCTTGACGTTGGTCGTGATTTTCGAGTACCAATTGGACAAGATGCCAGACGAGCTGGTACTATGAGCTATGCTCGGGCTCTTGGTGACACTTCCGGTCGGCTCGCTGGTTTGTCGACGAAACACCATTTTTACACAAAGATCTTCCACTTTCGATTTTTACGAGACTTCACGCAGAATGCGATTACGCTTGAATTACTTCCATTTAAAAAAAAAAAAAAAAAAAAAAATAAGCTCATACCCCCTTCTATCCTCACGTTCTATTTTACATCAACAATCGAAGAATTTCGAATGTTCTAATGTGCTTTTAAGAAATCATTCCGATCACTTAATTTTCCAAGCACGTTTACTCAGAATTACTTAGATTGTTCATCAGAGTCGTTTCGTCGATTTTCACGATTTCACGATTGCTCGACACATAAGTCTGAAAAATCCTCGAGAACTCTCGAACACAGTTTTCGAATAGATCCTCTGTGCTTCGCTCGTAGCAAACTCGTGTCACATCATGATCGTTCTTCGGCCAGTTCTTTCACGTGGCGATAGAAAAGTAGTTGAACATCGAGATCAAGAGGCAACATATGAAACACATTTCCACCTCGCGGTTTCTTCCACACGGGCTACATATATACCCTTCGCTTTTTACACTTTCGAGGGAAGGGAAAATCGAATCAATTTCCCCGTCTCATTTGGAAAGAAAGGGTCGTTCTCAATTGTTATTGGATCCTCTGGAAGATCAACCAATCTTCGTGTGAATGATTTTCTTTTTTTCTTTTAACCACTTATAACGTTAAAAATGAATGTATCTACGAATAAGATAAGTGTATTTCACGATATAAAGTATCCTACGACGATCGGTAGAAATAAAATTTCCACCAAACGAATAAAAATATTCTGACTATTGTACAATATACGTTTTTTTTTTTTTTTTTCTTTTTTCTCACTGAGATTTAACTTTTCAACGGCAGATTACATTTTTCCATTAGCAAACGTATCGCGGCGGCAAGGGAAGTTCCAGAAATAAAAATTGCATCAAACTCGCTGAAGCGTCTCATTTAAACGAGATAAAAATCACATCGTCGGAACGTTCTTTTTCGTGTCTGGCAATTATTAAAAAAAAAAAAAAAAAAAAATTGACATAGCTGTCCGTTCTCTGCTGCATTTTCGAATCGACGACTCCAAGCCAATAATTGAGAAATCATAACGATGAAGAATAACCTCCCGTAATCCTCGTGAAAGTGATCGAACGATCAACGAGATAACGAATCGGAAATATCGTAAGAAGATTTTCGCTGATACGGCTTTCCCCGATGCGCTGCGCGTATTCTGAGAAATGAACGACCGATTCGAGAATCGCGGAAGATGCTATACTGGCACTGAACGTCGACATTAGACGTCTACCGGCACTGAATACGAATTGAATCAAACAGGACAATACGAGAGAAATGATCCCTTCTGTGACATGATCTGTACCCGATACCAAGCGAACCGAGAAAACCAGCATCCTTTTCGAAACTCCAGCTCGCAGGAGGGACCTCAGTTGAAATATTTTAAATTATTGAAAGGCGCTTCTGTTACTATGATGAAAAAATTCGATTGGAAGTAAAATAAGAAAAACAGAACTGAGAAAATAATTGCTAGGCTAAAAAAAAAAAATGTGTCTTTTAGACAATGACTTTGGACCGAAGATCGAAATTAAAATATCTTTTGAACTAACTGGCTTTATACAAAATGCATCGACTCTTGAAAATTCTATGATTATTGAGAAAATAATTGCTAGAAAAAGATTGAGAAAATAACTGCTGAGCTAAAAAAAAAAATGTGTCTTTTAGACAATGATTTTGGACCGAAGATCGAAATTAAAATATCTTTTGAACTAACTGACTTTATACAAAATGCATCGACTCTTGAAAATTCTATGATTATTGAGAAAATAATTGCTAGAAAAAGATTGAGAAAATAACTGCTGGGCTAAAAAAAAAAAATGTGTCTTTTAAATGATTTTGAACCGAAGTTCGAAATTAAAATATCTTTTGAACTGACTTTATACAAAATGCATCGACTCTTGAAAATTCTATTCTGTTTAAAAAGGAAAGAGATAAATAATATTAAATGATACCCAAATCATACAATTATGTATTGCAAATGGAAAAATTGACTTGTATTTAAAACATTTTCGTAGCTATTTGCAAGGATTAATAATCAATTCCTACTAAAATAAATCCGATATTCTTTAATTACTTTTATAATTTATAATTAACTTTATATTCATTAGCTATATAATTATAGTATATAACTATATAATTAATTATACAATTTATAATTAATTTTATATTTACTTCAACATTTGAAAGAAATTATATTTAAAACATAACGAGAAAAGTCATGTTTGAACTTAAACTTAATTTGAACTTAATAAATTTAGGTTTTTCTTATACCTTGATGTTCTGTTAAAAAAAAAAAAAAAGAAAAAAGTAGATGGGAAGAAACTTTTAGCCCACCCTGTATTATACTAATTATTTCTGTTGCAACATACATATACCGCACAATACAAAGCATAATGCTGCAAAAATTATTGTGGAATGTTATCTAAATATGATAAACTCGTAATATCGTGAAACACTGTGGGGCTTGATATCGTTCATAAAATTTGCATAGTTTTATAAGACTCAACAATCTGCGTCGCGCTATTTTTGCTTAATTAAAGATTGTCACTCGCCTTATCGCTGATAGGACACTGTATCGCGTATTCAAATGATCTGCAAACCCGCTTATCATACCGACGCGTATTGTACCGTTGTTAAGCCTCATATTTACTGATCTCCGACTGGAACATCTTTCTGCTTACTAGCCGAAGGTAGGTGTTTGCGAGGTACGAGAGAAGAAAATGAAAAAAGGAAAAACAATTTCAAATCTTTGACATCTAAAATCAAGATATATTCTTTTTCCTAGCTTCAAACTGGTATCTGTTTTATTTTTTTATTGTCCAACAATATTTCAATAAAGGTTTGTTAATAAAGCGCCTTAAGCGCTGATTTGAATAATACCGCGTGAATCACGCGATGACTCAGAAGATCGGGAATATATTATTCCTTGAATAATTGATGATGAATCGAATCGAAATTAAAAGAAAGAAAGATCTTTCATTCGCGTTTCCGGGGAAAATCAAGAAAAATAACTGCCTATCTAACCGAGCCTTCGAAAACTTTTAACTAGCTCGAGCGTGCAATAGAATTTTTAAAAGATATATTCATTTAGTTTGGTTTCAAATTTATTCACTCCCACTTTGCTCGAGTTCATTTGTTTATTTTTAAAAATTCATTTTACCACCGAGGAAATCTACACGATCGGTCGTTTTTTTTAAAGCACATTTTAGAACGTTTAGAACGCAGCAAGACATAAAAACGAAATTGAAAATTTCTCAACGAAATACCAAAAGAATATGTCATTCTATTATAATTTAACTCAATCTTACAATAAGTATGCTCGTCATCGCCTAGAAATAATTAAAAAAAAAGCAAACGCTTAAAAAAACAAAACAAAAAAAAAAACACTTCTCTTCACTTCGAGAAAGAGAATGAAACGATTCGCGACATTGTACGAGACGTTCTTCTAGACGATCACAGATTCCAGCAGATTGCAACAAGTTTGCAGAGATCGGTTTGCCAAGTGTCTGCCGGTATCGTTGTCGAGAGTTCGTGAAAACCGGCGAAGACTTTCTAATTTTCTCGTTGGTACTTCAGGTTTTACGCCGTGTTATTGTTGCA